TAACAATGGAACCAGACCAAATGGTCTAAAAGGATAAACAACAAAAAGTAGGCCTATGTAGATAAAAAAAAAGGTAGAGAGTAAAAAGTCTTACTTAAGACAACAGAATAAAATAGGGGTGAAATCCTCAGGAGTTGATCCGTCCGGATAATAAAATATAAAAGTCAATAAAAAGTCATATAAAAGTCACAATAATATATCTGGATAGGGTAGGGGTACAATCCTCAGGAGTTGATCCGTCCGGATGGTTAAAATATCCGTATATGTGGAAAGACAAAGGGAAAACACAACAAACAGCCGAAAGTGTGATATAGTCAAGATCCAATGGTAAAATAAATAAAAAGAAGGTAATACACTCACATTTATGAGAGCTCTAACCAGCTCTGGGATGAAGGCCATATAGCAGTATAATCCCCGCTAGAGGATATAGTGGAGAGGTGCGTCCATCAATCCGGTCTGGTTATTCAATGCTCCAGGATATATAAAAAACAGCAATAGTGCTCTCAATATATAAAGAATGAGTAATAAAATATATATAAAATATACTCACAAGTATAGAGCAGAAGGTACTGCTCTACTGACACAGCATTGGTGGAATGATCCCCACCTAGGATTGCTTGAGTACAGGATACAATAAAAATGCCAGGGAGAGGGGGGCGGGACCGGACCGCCATGCTGCAAAGTCGCATAACAGAGCAGCTCCCTGGGGGCGGGGCCTGGACTTCATGGCGGCTGGACGTGCCTCGTGTGAGCTCCGAGCTCAATCTACCCACACAGCCTGATTACACGGAACATCCATCGAGGATGCCTCGCTCCACCAATCCACCGATGGCCCGCTCTGTGCGACCTAGTGCCCTCCCAAGCTTGCCCTGTCTCACCCCCCTACCCCCCCGGACCTGCGGGGGTTATCCCGGTCCTTCCTAGACTGTACCTGGTACCAAGTGACTAATCACCCTAACTGGCTAAGATACCGCCACAGCAGAATCAAACAAAATGGTGGCCCAGCTTACCATGCAAGGAGCAAACTCCCAGCACTCTGAGCCTCTAAACTCGGCACAGATCACCCAAAGGAGGCTGGACGAACTCTTCACCCGCTTCTGGGCCAAGCTGAAGGCACAACAAGAAGCAGTAAAGCCCCAACATCAGGAGGCCGACCGGGGGGCTGAGAACCGGGTGGAGAGTGGGCCCCCTTTGATCATTCATGTCTCCAAATCACACGCACCTCCTCACACTAAGAGATCGCAGAGGGCCACCAGGGGCAGAACCCCACTGCACCGTCCACACAGGTGGAGGACCACCCGCCACGTGCGGCCACCAACCTCCACAACCTCCTGCCTACCCCCCAGAGAGGGAAGATTGGGACCTCAGGAGCCCCCAAGTCCATGGCACGAAGGTGCTGGCCTATCAACCGGCCTGGGGCTGGAAGGACGCCCAATAGAACCATCCAAGTGCTACAGCAACCTTCGCCCTCAACACACGGGACTCACACTTCCCAGCCTTGGGAATAGGCTGAACTCAAGCTCTCTGCCTAAAGCTGTACCGCCATTACGGGACTAACCACGGACAACAGTTGCCACTGCTGGGACTTCCATACATGACCAACACGGGCCAACCTAACAAGGTTATACATACGCACAAAGTAAAATAAAATATGGTGAGAGCACTATACACCAAATGTGAACAAGATAAGAACATGCAATGTTACCCTTTATCTTGAATTTTCACTTAAATGTCCTAAAAGTATAAAATACATAACATAGTATAGCCTGTATGTAAAGGACAAATTAAATAAGATATAAAATAGCCCACTCACGTGGTGCTGAGCCTGAAAGAGTGGCTCAGACTACAAGTGCCTTTTAAGATATCCTGGAGACCCAAATGCTAACCAGCAGGTAAAGATAGTTCCTTCCGAAGTTTCTCTTTGATAAATGCCAGGTAGAGAAATACTGGAACAAATAAACCTTTATTTCACTTAAAATTATATAAAAAAAGCATATAAGCATATAATGGAATCTCCAAATATATTGCACTAACGCGTTTCGACCGATAATGGTCTTTATCAAAGTGCTACATATCTTCACAAATTGTTAATTTATATATCTTTAAAAAAGGCGCGCTCAGCTTTCCCGCCTGTTCACTTCCGGTTTCCGGTCGTGGTCTCCGATCAGTTGACTTCCGGTTTCCAGTTTTCGTCATACGTCCAAAGGACACTTCCGGGTCAGCGGTCATGTTGTTTTTTAGTCCTGTAGGCTTCCGGGTTCCGGCGAAAAAAGTCCTCCCTCAATATTCTTTAGTACCTATTTCCACTTTAAAAGAGTCTTTAATGCACATATCCATTCTAAAAAGTTTTTACCTCACATATCCGTTAGATACTCTTACAATAAGCATGAAAAACATCTATTAAAATACAGTGAATTTCAATATTATACTCCAGGGGAATAAAATATTTAGTATGGGAAAGAGAAAAAGAGAAAAAAAAAATTCATTAAAATGTATAATAAATATCATTTAAAATTTATAATAACAATTCATCATAACTATAATATAAAATTATGATAAAATATTTATAAAAAAGAGGCAATATAAAATAACATTTCATCATAAACATAATATAACATATTTATAAAAAAGAGGCAATTTCAAAATCTACATTTAACTCTTCAGGGGTTAAAGTATTTAAGTTGAACATCCATCTCATTTCTGCTCTACTTAAAATATTTTCTTTGCAACCCCCTCTCCAATGTACGTTAATCTTCTCAATACCAATCAATTTAAGACCTTCTGCGTTACCATTAGAAAATGTTTAGAAACACTATGATTAACAAATTTTTTCTTTATATTATTAATGTGTTCCCCCACTCTAACTTTTAATTTTCTAATCGTTTTGCCAATATATTGGTAACCACATGGACAGGTTAAAAGCTATATTAAATTAGTTGTATTGCACGTAATGAGCGAATGTATTTTATACTCTTCTCCTGAAGTTCTACTCGAAGAAAAGGTTTTTATACTTTTGTTTGTATTCCTTTTTAATCTACATCCAGTGCAGTCTCCACAATAATAAAAGCCTACTTGTCCATCTAAAAAAATATTTTTACCCTGCTTTTCTTTATCTAAAAAACTTTTTGTTAAAATCTGTCTAAAATTCCTAGCTCCTCTAAAAATAAATTGAGGTCTATCCGCCAAATAAGGTAAAAGGTCTTTATCTTCCTTTAACACATGCCAATTTAAAAAAAAAAATTTACGTACTGATCTATTATTAGTACTGAAATGCAAAATCAAAGGGATAAAATCATCTTTTTTCTTTTTCTCCTTATTTTTATATTTTAAGAGTTGACTCCTATCTTTATTACCTATTTCGTCTCTAGCATTTTTAATAGAGATAGGATTATATCCTTATCTATAAATTGTTGTATTAAATTACAAGATTGATCCTGGTAATCTTTAAGGTCCGTACAGTTCCTCCTTAATCTGAGAAACTGACCCTTTGGTACATTTTCCAACCAAGGTTTAAAGTAACAGCTGCGTAAATATATAAAACTGTTAACATCAACCTTCTTAAAATGAGTTTTACTCTTAATTTGGTCTGATTCAATAAAAATATCCAAATCTAAAAAGGTGATGCTCTGATTACTAATATTGGAGACAAGTTTGATATTCCAATCATTTGAATTTAAAAAGTCTAAAAATTTAGTCAAAGAATCTTCATCTCCTTTCCAAATAATAAAAATGTCGTCTATATAACGCTTATAGAGGACCAGGTTTGCTCCCAAATTTGCAGCAGGGAGGACAAACATTTCCTCCCAATATGACATAAATAAATTTGCATAACTGGGAGCAAACCTGGTCCCCATAGCTGTTCCGTGGATCTGCAGATAAAATTGGTCTTCATACCAAAAAAGATTATTCTTTAATATGATTTCTATCCCTTTTAAAATGAAATCAACTTGTAGCTCATTAAAATCCCCAAATTTATTTAAAAAATGTCTTGCTGCATTACATCCTCTATCATGAGTTATGTTTGTATACAGACTGCTGACATCACAAGTTGCCATGATATATTCCTTATCCCATTTAAAATTTTCCAAAATATTCAATAGGCTCATTGTGTTTTTTAAGTAAGTTGGACATTTTTTTTTTTTTTTTGTAAATCTATTTTTTGAGACATTTGTTATATGGGGTACAGAACAAAAACAAGGGGATGTACATTTTTACAGCTTAGGGTTACGTTAACACAGTGCAACATCTCCTTTGAGTAACTGTCTCATTTTTATGTTATTCAAGCTGACAAACTAGATTTGCTTTATATTAGTTAATTATGTAACCATATGTAGTGCTAGTGAGTGTGTCGTAATAATAGGAACAGTAGTTTGACTTCAGTGCGATAACAGGCGTAAATATAACAGGTGTGTGAGAGTTGTGGTGAGTCGCTTGTAGTTTATGCTGTGGGGATGTGCCTCTCTGTCGTGCCATGAACCGGCCAGCCTGTGCCCGATATTGCCCTGTAAGTTGTGCCCTTTGTGTGTGTAGTAGTTTTCGTTAGATTTTGGTGTCACCCATCAGGTTAGACTGAGGGCTTGTCTTTGCTCCTCGAGTCATGTGTGCTGTGGTATGTAGGAATGAGGGTTTGTGGCACATATCAAGTAAGTACAATTTTAAACATTAAACATTAAGCAGATAGTAATCATTGAGCAAGTTAACCCTCTCCCCAACCCCTCCTTAAGATCAGATGCTGTACAGTGCTTGTACTACTGAGCAAGAAAGGGTAGGGTGAGCTACCGGAGTACACTCAACATTTAACCAGCTATGTGCTGCTTTGGTCCTAGTCGGACTTGTGAGAGGCTCAGTTTGTTCATGGTGAGGCCTAAGTTAACCCAAGGTAAAGGGTGCATGAAGAAAAAAAAAGTCCCATTTTGGGTTTTACTTGCTCGGCTTCGCAGCCCGACCGCAAAGCGTCCATTGGTGACTGTGCGAAGGTAGGCCGTCTGTGTTCCGCTGGGTCATCCTATACTTCTGGGTGGGAGCTGCAGCGGCTGTGTCGGGTAAGTCCAGATGGTGGCGGGCAGCCAGGGATAAGCTGGGTTCACCCCCCTGCTCCGGGATTGTTGTAAGGCCAGTATTGTTTCTCCACGGGCTCGGGGTCTTTTATAGGTCGGGTCCTTCCCCATTGGGGTAGGTCTGGGGGCTGTGGTGGTGTTCCGCCGCCTGCGGCGTATGGGCCTCCGCCTGTGTGGGGGATACCTCGGGGCTTCGCCCCTCAGGGCCTTAAGCCCGGATGGGCTCGTTTGTTGAGAGGTTGTCAGCTTTGTCGGGTTTATGCCCAGGGGTCCACTGGGCTCTCTCCGGCTGTCGCTTTCTCGTGTCTGCTTTGCACCCCGGTTCGCCTGTGCCCGTATCTGTGTGGCGGCGTGTCGAGCTTCCACCCTCACCCAGAAGTATTCAAGCAGCTTTTGCAGGCGAGTGTTTAAGGATTCGTCTGGGCTAAGCCGGTATTCTGGCAGCGCATGGTCTTCGTTAGGTTGAGCATCCGCCATTTTAGTGCTGCTTCTGGCCTGCTGGTTTGGCACGTAGTGTGGGTTGTCGGCTTCATTTGCAGGCCGTGTGAGTATACAGGATTTGTTGATTGGGACCGGGATAACCCCCACCGGTCCCGGGGGGGGCAGCTCGATACTGCGGGTGCTGCATGCTTAAGAGTGCAGAGAGAGCGGCCGCCTCTCCCTTGCTCTGTGAGATGTAGGCCTCGATCCTCTAATCTGGGTTCCCTGCGAGTGATCAGGTCGTGTAAGGTATTCCCCGGTTCCTCAACTTCTGTGGCACAGGGTGAGGTAGGCTGGGGTTCAATATTAGACGGGTTCCCCTCGTTTTTGCTGGTATTTGGGTTCAGGATCGGGAGCCCACAGATATCGTGTCTGTTCAGCTCCCCGGTCAGGCTCCGCCCCCAAGTTGGACATTTTTTAACTAAATCCTGTAAAAATTGATCAATATATTGTGATAAATTGGACAGGAGTGATCCTATGCCAGATACTATTGGCCTTCCAGGTGGATTAAAAAAATCTTTATGTATTTTAGGCAATACATAAATTACTGGTATTCTTGGATGCTCCACTTTTAAAAATTTATATTCTTTCTTATTCAAAATTCCTGTTTCCATCCATTCTTTTAAAAAACTTTCATACTCTTCCTTTATCTTACTTAATGGATTGCCATTTAGTTTCAAATAGGTAGTGTTATCATCTAATTGACTTTGAATTTCTTTTAAATATTTATTCTTCTGCCAAATCACTACACCTCCTCCTTTATCTGCCGGTTTTATTATTATGGATTTGTCTTCTTTTAAAGCTAATTTTTCTTTTTTTGTTAAATTTTTTTGATATTTATTGAGTGGTTTTAACTTTCTCAAATCCTTAAGGCATAATTTTTCGAAGACCTTCATTGCCTCCGTTTTTTTATTTAATGGATAAAATTAAGATTTTTGTTTCAAATCTGTATGTTTATAAAAATTATTTAAATGATCAATATCTTCCTCTTTAGGTATAAAATCCTTAAAAAAAAATTTTTAAACATAATTTACGTAAAAATCTATTCAAATCTAAAAAACTATCACATTTCTCAGCCTCACAACTTGGTGAAAACTTAAAACCTTTCCGTAAAACAGACCTATGAGTATCTGTTAAAATTTTATCAGAAAGGTTAAAAATAGGGATGGATTTATTTTCTAGTTTCTCCTCCCCCTCTCGTATTTTTTTCTCTTTCCTTCTTCCTCTACTTCTCCTTCCTCCATTTCCCTTGTTTTCTTTAATGGAGTATTTACTTTTCTCCTGTTTAGGTATGCTGGTCCTAAGAAAAGATCCTGATTTTCTTCCCCAAGGTTTCTTAACTTTTCAAATCTATTATAGGTAAAAGTCCTTTGTGGGGAGGCTCTTTTATATATATCGCCTTTATGCAATGGGAAATTACTAGGTTCTCTTCTATTAGAATTCCTTCTTCTCCGGGGGGTAACTTTTTTCCATTCTTCTTCCTTTCTAAATGGAACTCCAAACTATTCTCTTCTATTTTTCCTTTGTTCCTCCCTTATTTGGTATTGATGTGTGGTATCCCTATTTTTTATTTTTGTTATATTTTCTTTATTGTAATAGGTTCCACTTTTTCTATTTTTGTTTTTATTTATTTCCAAAGTTGAAAAATTTCTAATTTTTCCCTGAGCATAATCATCCATATCTCGTTTAAACTTCTTTCTTTTAGTTTCTATAATCTTTTTTCTAACCTAACAATTTTTTCTATCATTTTTTTATTGATGCTTTCAAATTCATCCATCTGTATAAAGGGTTCTAATTTTATCTGAATATATTTAATTTTTTCTTCTAATTGATGCAGAGTCTGACCCCTCTGCTCTATTATTATTCCTATCATATGGAATGAAAATGATTCTAACGAATTATTCCATATATTCATAAAGACCTATATACATATGCACGTATACTGCAGCTGTCTAACCTTTATGTTTTTAGGCATTTCTCGCAATAGCTGGACTTTCTCACTATGCCTCATATCGCAAGAACTGCCCTCTACACCCTGGCTAAACATAATTATTATTATTAGTATGTTATTTGACAACGTAATGTGACAACATAATATGCCGTTGTTTTCACACCTTGCAAAGTATTCTCTTTTTTGGCAATGACATCTTGTGTGTGTTTACCTCCAAGCTGGTTTAAAACTGGCGGTGAAATTGTTGGTATATCTCTACACTTAAATAC